AAACAAAAAGGATGATCATGCAAAGTCTTGAAAAAAATAAAAAGAGGTGTGCCATAATACTAAGAAATGATAGCCTTTAAATCCCATTGACGTCATTTCTTAAATCCTAAACCACTGGTCACATTACAACCTTAACAAAGTCTTTTTTGATTCCAGAAATCATGCATTGGATTAACCTTAACTATCCTAAAAAGGAAAATTTTACAACTAACGTTTGTTACTCTTATAGTGATCAGAAAAAAGAAGTATTCAAGCAATACAGATGGAATATTAATTTAATTTTATTTGTGAAAAATATGAATTATGAACTCCTAACTACTGAAATTTGTAGGTAGTTTCATTAGAAACCTTCATGAGACAAAACACGTCCACTAGGGATCACCTAGGGGTTTAAAGTCTTATTGCATATGCTAAATGCAATCGTAAAAAGATCTACAAAAATGATTTTACTTCTATTTGTATTTTAATTTTGTTAAATAGTTTTTATAATTTACTATGGATTAGTAAAATTTAAGTTGGGGAGTATGATTAACCCTAATTATTGTGTGAATTAATTTAGTAAATAAGCTAACTTAGTAAAATAAAATAGTTAAAAACTGTTAATTAGGGTTTCTATGGAAACTAGGGTTTTATCTATGTAATGTCTAAAATTTCAGGATTTTATGCAGAATTATTGCTAAAAAATTACAAGGGGCAGTTTGTCAAAGCTTGAAAGAACAAGGGAACAAAATGTAATTTACCCAAGGAAAAGCCAGCACAACAAAAAGATCAAGATCAACATCCAGCAAGGCACCACCGTCTAGATGGTGGTTCTTGGCATTCGGCGGTGGCTCCTTGGCTACTCATGCTCATCTTCCACCTTATGCTTCCTCATTTTCTATATATATGCCATGCATGGCCTTCTTCAAGAAAGGGTCGGCCAGAGAGGGGAGCTCTAAAGAGCAATCCAGAGAGAAAAGACAAAGTAATACCCAATCCGGTTCGTCCTACTCACAAGCTGAAACTCTGTACTTCTACATTTCTGTGTCATCTTTCTATTCGAATAGTTGAACTTCCGCCACCTTTTTGTCTTAATTGATAAGAAAGGTGGTTGTATGTTAGTTGTGCCTTGTGAAAGAAGTGTCTGATTCTGTTTTTTATGTGTTGTTTTAATGATAACAACCCTCACTCCTTGCTTGTCTATAGTAATAGAGTGTGAGTAGTTACTTATATCCTTCAGTGAAGGGTAAACATATGTATAATATTGGTTAACTTCTAAAAATGCTGATATTTTATTAAGCTCTATATATATGTATTATAAACTTCATGTATGATACATTGATATACATAATTGGGTATTACGCCCGAAATTATGATATCGATGAATCATCAACCTGCCAGTTAAATATCTACGGTGTTCCACCGGTATGGCTTGACCTCCAAAGGAGCACAGAGGATGTTCTAACAGTTGCATGGTATATAAAACTATTAGATTAATGACTTAAGTGATTCTCATGAATAGCTTGTCCTTCTAGATTACTAAGGTCGTTTAACTAGTATACATATTAATATTGCTAGTAGAATATCTACGGTGTTCCACCAGTATGGCTTGACCTCCAAAGGAGCACTGAGGATGTTTTAATGTAGCATGATATAATCATCAAACTAATGATCTAAGTGATCCTCATGAATGGATTGTCCTTCTGGATTACTACAATTGTTAACTAGTACATATTATAACCAACTAATCCAAGAAGTTGTTGTGTTATAGCCTATTAATACCACCAGCTAACTTAAGAAGTTGTTGTGTTATGGTTTATTATGTATGTACATATTATAATATTACCAATTGAGTAATTCAAACGATCTCCATGAATGGCTTGTCCTTCTGGGTTATTAGGGTTAGTCAATTGACACACATATACCACCAGCTAACTTAAGAAGTTGTTGTGGTATAATCTATATACATCAAACCTACTGGTTAAATTTTCAGTAAAATGGAATTTAATTGTTGTAAGGTAGCATTTCCAGCATTTAACCAATATAAAGCATATGGGATCCTTAAACTGAAGGATACTTTTTATATTATTGTCTTTTTCACAATTTATCTGCAAACAACCATTTAATTAGACTAGTTATCAATCTAAGCTCACATCACAAGTTATTTTGGGTGGTTGTGGGTCTTGATGCATAGGAGTCTTGATGCACAATGAGTCTTGATGCACCGATTTGCGGTGGTTGTGGGTTTCCCATTTGATTTTGTGCTTTTGTGGTCTTGATGCATAGCGAAAGAGAGAAAGACAAAGAGTTGAAACAAATTTTATAATTTTATTGTCCAAACAAATTTTATAATTTTTGTACTTTAAAACTATTTTCAAAAATATATAACCAAACATGTTTTGTAATCTAAAAATTTTTAAAAACACTTTCTTAAAACTCTTCTCAAAAATAGTTTTCAGATACTATTTTTTGAGATGCAAACCAAACAGGCCTTTAGTCTTCCATTTTGTTTACAACATGAGAAAGGGAGAGAGAAAGAGTTTGAGAGTTCTTTAACCCCTTTTCTTCTTCCTTGGCTTCTATCTTTTGATCCAACCGTTGAAATTTGATCAGGCAAGAATAAAAGTTGTTCTACTCAACGACGGCTACATGTCGACACCAATCTTGCCCATTTTCCACAAATTTCAAAAATCATGGGCTTGGGGCTAGGGCTTTCGGGAGCTTGTTTTGGGCATTCTTGAGGATTTTCTTCTTTATTTACACTTCAAGATGTGAGGGTTTTCTCCCACTTAAGATCACTTTCAACTCAAAGTATGTATATGATATGGATAAAGTTGATGTAAAATAATACTTATCTACCATGTAACTAGTGTAGCTAGTGGAATACTTGATGAATCATGGGCATGCTAGACCAACTCTTATTTGATTTGGGTGTAGAACATGTTAAATATGTGTGATATGAGTTAAATTACAATTGTAGATTACATTGCACGTGCACGGGTTAACACTACATTCTTGGAACATGGCATGAGTGTAAGTGTTGGGCATGGGTTTAATCAATCACCACGTAGGTGAGTTGATAGGTGGGGCTTGGGAGGATTAGACCAAGCTCCGGTTAAGTCTCATAGGATATTGTATGAAAATATGTTGGGTTATAACAAAAAGGGATAGATCTTCACTCGGGTGCAAAGTCTAGTTTTGTCAGTCACACACTAGCCGGTGGTGTAACGAGTTCATAAAAGTATGTCGGTGTATGCAGAAGTGGAGGTGGGATGGCCTCAAAATCCTTGTCAGTTTGGTAGCCCGTTGGTGGAAGTGGGAGTAGGTTCAGAGACGGATATGCATTCATAAGACATCATTCATGGTTGGCATGCTTAGTATCATTTACATGTTACTTGGGTTATATTGTTGGTGTGTTGAACTTGCATTCATATCATATGCATTTGGGTTATGAGGTATTCTATATAGGAGATACTCTACTAGGCTTAGGCTTATCTCATTGTGGAAATATTTTTCAGGTACTATGTGAAAATTCGCTATTTATAATTATATCTATTAAGTTATCAAAATTGACTTTTAGTTAAAAAACTCAGATGAAGAAATAGATTTTATCGTTGAATTCACCTCATAAAAATGAGTCCAACTAGTATAATATTGACTATGTTTAGTACCGAGGTCAAATTAGCTTAAGTTAAACGGAATTGAATGAATTAAAAAAATGATGAATAGTATTATCAGTCATGGCAGCCTGCTATGACTATTTAGCTGACATTGGTTATGGTAGGAAGGCATGAAAACATCATTGTCCTGCCATTGCCGCCCATAGGAAAGCAAGGAAACATCATTGCCCTATCATTTTCGCCCATGACTTTAGGTCACCCCTTATCTTTGACTCACCAACTACTTGGACAGAAGCCGACTCCTTCTTAGTGTATAAATACATGTAAAACAAATGAAAAAATGGGAGAAAAATAATCTGCCAGCCTTGGTATTGAAAAGAAAGCAGAGAGAAAGAGAGAGAACCCCCATTGTTGGAAAATGCGAAGCTTAAGGACCAAAACTTTGAACCTACGACAACTAGCTCTAGACAAAGGTAGGAATTACAACTCCTTTGTTTTCTTCCATATCTCTCTACTGTTTTAATTTTTTTTTGCTTTGTAAGTTGTTGATCTAGTATATGTGGTGTGAATATCGATGAATAATATATGTGGATGAGCTACTTGTGTGTATATATATATGTGTGTATATACGTATACATACATATTAATGAATTTGTCAGATGGGTCTTTGAATTTCATCAAGGAATGAGATGAAAATTTATTGAAAGGTAATCTAGGTCTTTGGTGATGAATAGGGAATTATAGATTTGAAAGAAATGAACAAAAGAAACAATTTATGGTAGAAAGAGAAAAAAAAAGGGGGGAGAAGAAGCTTACTGATGCAGGCCTGGACGTTGGACAAGATGAATGAAATGTTGGCTTAAATTCAGAAACTCCCCCCTTAGTTTTAGATACATTATATACCTACTTGCAGAAATTACAAAGTTAAGTTCAAGGTTTTAGATACACAATGACCCCAGAAGATCATAAAAAACTACTAAAGCACCAAATCAATATTTCTAGTAGTTAGGAAATGTTTCTAAAATTATACATTGACCCCACTAAGTATAAAATACTTTTAAATATTACAAAGTGACCTTTAATTGCAATGAAGTTTCTAAAGATTCATGAATGAATCCAAAAGATTATAACCATGTGGAAAGACCACCAAATCTCGTGTGGCGTTTAAGATGGTATTTTCTTGGAGTTGCAAACTACTCCCATGGTGATAAAAATTATGTATATATTCATTGTTCAAGTAAAAGTGTGGTTACTTATGAAAGTTAAACCACTAATATATATGGAAATTTACAAGAGAAGTATTATGTGTGAAGGGTGGTACACTTCCACATAGTTAGAATGTTAATCATGATATATATATATATATGCTCGTATATGATAGCATGTTGAAGAGATATTGAAATGGTAGGTTTCGTGTTTGTTGGTAATGTTTATATAATGCCTCATGCTATGTTTTAAGCAGGTTGTTATGATAAATATTATTCGATGTGAACTTATAGGCATTGACACAAATTTATGGGATAGGATTAAAACTTAATAGTTGTTTTTCCTACTGAGTATGGCTCACCCTAACATTTTTGGGATGAATGTATAATTTGGGTACTTAGACTATGATATTAAATAAATGCTCTGATTGTCTAGTCTAAACCGAAGTACGTGAACTGTTTAATTCATTTGATTAATTGTGTCTATTTGTCACATAAATCACATCAAACATACTAAATCACCCCCAAAAATCAGGGCGTCACAGCTTGGTATCAAAGCTTACGTATACGATTTACAAGGGACCTTAGGGGAAACCTTAGGCATATCAAATATACGTATTCTAGTTGTAATTAGAGACTGGCTATGATTATTATATTTTATTTCTAATGCTAAGTTTTACCACCTGTCTAGCTTTTGATTAGACCATGATGAGAAATAGGACTAGTGGAGGTGCAGCAGCCTCCTATTTGCAAGGCACTAATGATGGTGAACTGATGCAGACTATGCGAGAAATTGCTAGAGTTATGTCTCAGAGTGAGGGTAATGGGATGAACTCCATGATCGCACTAAAGGAGTTTGGGAGGCAAAACCCTTCAGTGTTCAATGGTGAGCCTAATCCGACAGTGGTAGAGAACTGGATTAGACAGATAGAGAAGATCCTTGATGCCATGGGGATTAGATCTAATGGAACCAAAGTTACTTTAGATGCCTTCCATAAAAGTAGTGACATGGTACATTTTACATATTGGGGGCCAAACCAGTAACACACTAAGAAATTTTAAGCAACATGGGTAGCTGATAATGTATATGCGACAAAGTAGTAACATGGTACATTTCATGTATTGGGGGCCAAATGAAATAGATTTCAGCCCCAAATTCTAAGTATCCTGAAAATTATGACAAAAAGAGTATAGGTGTGTCATGACATTAACTTAAAACCAACTAGCATGTTCTTTTTACGGCATCATGATTGTTGTGACATATTCTATGATGCTTTGACGTTGTTAATGGTTCATGACACTAAGTTAGATGGAAATAGTTAGTGGACAGGGATAACTCTAGTTGAGGGGGCGGTCGGAACAACCAAACACCACCCCCACCCATCTATGATCAAGAGGCATTCATGAATGTCATGGTGGCTACTTTCACACAAGTAAGTGCCAACATGGGTCTAGGAGGCCCGAGCAACCTCCAAAAGTTCAAAGCACACAAGCTACCTAGTTTCATAGCGGAAGGGGACCCGATGGTAGCCGACCATTGGTTCCAATAGGTGGAAAATATTCTTGAGGCGATGGAGATCACCACGGATGCCACAAAGATTAGACTTGCCACCTTTCAACTTGAATGGGATGCCCATCAATGGTGGACATGGGCAAATTCATCAAGGGACTTGGAGACTATGACGTGGGCCAAGTTCCAAGAGTTATTTATAAACAAGTACTTCCCTTCTAACCTTATATTAGTAAAGGCCCGAGAAGTGTTAGACCTCAAGCAAGGGACGATGAAGGTCATGTAGTATATGGAAAAATTCTTCGAGTTAACCTATGTTGCCTATGATTATGTGAAAACCGATGTGGCAAAAGTGAGGAGGTTCTAGCATGGTCTCAAACTGGCCATACGGAGAAAGATAGCTGGCCACAGGTTGCAAGACTTGGATTCTTTAGTCAAGATAGCCATGGCCATTGAGGAGATTAATAATGCTAAGAGCATTCGGGAGGCTGGAGTTAAGGACAAGAAGAAAGAAGGTTTGTCATATAACACAAGTTTGGGCAAAAAATAGAAGACCTTTACACCACAAGGGTCTTAAGGGCAAGGCCGGGATCAACCTTCCCAAGGGGGGAAGAACTTTAAGGGTACATATCAGGGAGGCCAAAAGGCATGTTACTTGTGTCATCAGTTGGGCCACCTGAAGAGAGATTGCCTTTTCCAGTAGGGATCCCACAATTATGGGGCTTCTTGGTCCCAGTCATCAGTGGGACTTCCTCATACATTCTTCATTCCTTGTTACCTTACTATGGGCCAAGGAAATAAGTATTAGCCTCAAGGCACTGGGAGGTTCTAGTTACTTCCCGTGCGGAGCTCCGTAATCAGGCTAGATAGGCCAGGGTGTAGGCCAAGGTTGGGGACATGGCTATCATGAGGATACTTTAGGGACCCAAGGGTAAGTCTTCACCTATCACTTCTTAGACTGAGAAAGTAGATTAGTTAGTGATTCAAGGTACATTTTTACTTTCTCACTTATGGGCAAGGGTGTTATTTGATTCGGGTGCATAACATTCATTCATTTCTACATTGTGTGTGAAAGATTTGGACTTAGAGGTTGAAATCTTGGATGAGACTTTGTATGTTAATTCTCCCCTAGGAGTTAGGGTTTTTATTGACAATATATGTTAGGGTTATAAGTTAGAGATCAGTAGGATTCAACTCACAGTAGGCCTTAGGTTTGTGGACCTTAGGGTCATGGACATGTCGAAGTTTAATGTCATCATCGGGATGGACTAGCTAACAGCGCATCGAGTGGTTATTGATTCTGATCGAAAACGAATGACTACATAAACTTCAAAGGGGATTTGTTTCAAATTCCAAGGAGAAAAACACAACACTTTACCCCAAGCCGTCTATGAATCTCATTGGCATGGACAGTTAATGGGTTAGCTTGCGAGCCCTACCCTTGAGGACGAGGCGAGATAGGAATTGGGTCTACTTTGGGTTATTTACGAGTATGCGGATGACTTCCCAGATGAATTACAAAGATTGCCTCTACATCGCGAAGTCCACTTTTCCATTGAGTGCAGCCTAGTGTATCCCCCTATCTCTATGAAACCATATAGGATGACACCACCAGAATTACAAGAACTCAAAATTTACTTACAATAGTTGCTTGACAAGGTTTTATTAGACCAAGTACCTCGCATTGGGGTGCTCCGATATTGTTTGTCAAGAAGAAGGATGGGGCCCTTAAGCTTTATATAGATTACAAGCAGTTGAATTGGGTTACCATGAAGAACAAGTACCCGTTGCCACGTGTAGATGACCTATTTGACCAATTGAGAGGGGCTCGGGTCTATTCTAAGATAGACTTGCGCACAGCTTACTATCCATTGAAGATACGGGAGGCCGACATTCCTAAGATGGCATTTAGGACTCGATATGGCCACTTCGAGTTCTTGGTCATGCCATTTGGGTTGATGAATGCTCTAGCGGCATTCATGGACCTTATATATAAGGTATTCAAACCTACCATGATCAATTTGTCATAGTACTCATAGAAGAAATTCTTGTGCACTCCAAGATGGATGAAGAGTGCGAACATCACTTGAGGGTTGTTTTACAAGTCTTGAGAGATCACCAGTTGTACGATAAATTTAGCAAATGTGAGTTTTGACTAAAGGAGGTCAAGTTTTTAGGCAACGTTGTGTCCACAACAGGTGTGTCAATTGACCTTGAGAAGTTTTTTGGGATTGGTAGGATATTACAGGAGGTTCATTGAGGACTTCTCCCACTTAGCGGCTCTTCTGATACGACTTACTAGGAAGGATGTCAAGTTTCAGTGGGTGACTCTTATGAGAGGTCATTCAAGGAGTTGAAGAGGAGGTTGACTTCAACTCCTATCTTGATCGTTCCCGAAAGAGGAGAAAGTTATACATTTTATTGTGATGCGTCAAAGGTGGGGCTAGGATATGTCTTGATGCAGTCTAGAAGGGTAGTTGCTTATAGTTCTCATCAGCTTAAGAACCAAAAGAAGAACTATCCGACGCACGACATTGAGTTGGCAGTTATTGTCTTTACATTGAAGGCATGGCGCCACTATCTCTACAGATAATAGTTTTTGAAGTGTATTTGGACCACAAAAGTCTGAAGTACATTTTCACTCAGCGAGATCTCAATATGAGACAGTGTTGATGGATGAAATACTTAGAGGACTATGGCCTTAGTTTGCACTACCATCTCGATAGGGCAAATGTGGTGGTTGATACTTTTAGCCAGAAGTCATGAGGGGTTTTAGCTAGTGTAGCTCCCTATAAGTGGCAAATGTTTGAGACTATGGGACAATCTGGACTGCACAATCAGGATCAGGCTCAGGGCATTATTGGCAATTTTGTTGCTACACCGTCTCTGCTCAATAGAGTGATTAAGGCTCAAGACCAAGATTTCGAGGCCTTTTTCATTAGGGATAAAGTTTAGGCTAGTTCTGGTGATGAGAGTTGGGTTATCCATTCCGATGGCAGTCTACAATACAGGGGTAGAGTTCTTGTTCCCTATTCTACTGATTTGAGGGAAGATACTCTAGAAGTTCCATTGCTCTTATAGCATCATGGGGGCACAAAAATATGTCATGATCTTTGCCATCAATACTACTGGAGTGGGATGAAGAAGCACGTTGGGGATTTTGTAAGTAGGTGTTTGACTTGTAAGCAAGTCAAGTCTGAGCACCAGAGATTAGCAGGGTTGCTCTAGCCACTAGAGGTAGCCGAGTGAAAATGGAAGCATATCACCATGGACTTTGTTACTCATTTTCCATAATCTACATAGGGACATGATGCAGTTTGGGTTATAGTGGATCAGCTTACCAAGTTAGCTCATTTCTTAGTTGTACGGATAACCTTCACACTCGAGGAATTATGTAGGTTATACATTCGAGAGACTGTTCGGTTGTACAGGGTACCCATTTCCATTGTGTCAAATCAAGATCCATAATTCAAAGCACAATTTTGGGATAGTTTCCAAGGAGCTATGGGAACGTATTTGATGTTGAACACAACATTTCATCCACAAACTGATGGCTAGTTGACTTGATCCGATATGTGTACACCCAAGTGCAGGCGGTCAAGTTGTAGTAATAATCTGGTTAAGTCCGGAGTCGAATCCACAGGAAACTATGATTAGTGTTTTGAAGTAGCAGTGATAGAGACCAAGTAACTGAAAACCTTGAGGGTTTGAAGTTATGGGATTTCCTGAATAGAATATAAGATTTTTTTCAACAGTTTTCTAGACAAAATATAAGATAAATTCAAATGTAAACAGTCACCCTTTAGTTTGAGGATTAGAACATGTAGTTAATCATTCGATTTATTATACTTGTGTTTTATAACTCAATTAACTTCTGTGTTAACAGTAAGTTAATCGGAAGATAAAGATGGACTGTAAAAATTAAGCACATGATTTCGATGCCTTTCTAGAAGTTTACAAGAATTGTCTATGTTGAGACTCAACCCGTCTACAAATAAGCAAGTGTTTCTACAAAACCTCCAACTATGACATTAATGTTCTATTCTTTAGATAAAGCACAATAATAGTGAAGATTGAAATGTTGTCATGAAAATCTAACCGAGGTACTTGCGTTGAACCAACGGGTCTTTCTATGCAAGAGTCATCCGTAACATAGAGAGAACTCATAGTTATACAAAGTACTTTAGTTTTGCTAGATGCATTCAATCATTCACTAAGCAAGTGAAATATAAAGCATTAAAGCATAAAGGAAATGCACAAATATAACTTTCAGATAATTTATACAAATCACCTCTTACCAAAGAGTGAATGAGGAAGTACTCACTCTTCATGGCTTGGGTAAAGATAGAAAAGTGAGTAATGGTCATCCCTCCACGTAGAGAACTTACAAGGTAAAGTACAGTAAGCGAGGAGCCGATCTTTGATGAAGAATGAGTGAATCACGTTTTACCTTTCATGGCTTTGGTAAAACTCTAGAAAAGTGGAAGAGTTTCACTCCTCTAAGAAAGAAGGAAGCTCAAGCAATGGAAGTCAAAGACAGTAAATGAAAGTAGAAGAAAGCTAGACACTTTTGAAGGGTTTCCACCGCAACCAAAAGAGGATATATCTCCCTTGATACAAGTAAATATAAGACTAAATATATGAGTGGAAGTCTAAGTCTCCATCTAGCTCTTGACTAATTCTTGGTGTAGTCCAAGCCTTACAAACCAAGTTCTAATCTTTTACAATAACTCCTCTCTCAAGGCTCCTCCAAAGGGAGTATTTATAGGCAAGGAGGAAGGGGGGAGACAAGAGAGTGTGAAGGAATAGTGTGTGCCGTCCAAGTTCAAGTGAAAAGTCAACTACTCTGCAGCCTGCCTATAGAGAACGTTTGAACGTGAGTTAGCGTTCAAACATTGTATCTATTTTTCCTTTATGGGCGTTTGAATGTCGTATGACTTTCGAACGTTTCTTCTGTCTTTGCTTTATGGGCATTCGAATATCAGATAGGGCCTGACCTTCTCACTCAAGTGGCTTGTGGTCTTCTATGGAAACCTATTTCCACACTTCATGCACATCTTGGCGTTTTGCACTCATCAGTCTGGTCTTCAATCAATTCAAGTGGATATTCGAACGTGAGTTAGCGTTTGAACGTGTTACTCAAGTACCTCAGAGTCTTCCTTCTTGGCTGCAACACACCATGTTTCAGTAGTTTGGTCTTCAATCAATTCAAGTGGATGTTCAAATGTGAGTTGGCGTGCGAACGTTCTTGGCTTGGTCCAAGCTTTTCCAATTTTTCTCTAGAATACGCTGGTGTTGCATGAAAGTTTGATGTTCATTGCCTTTAGTCCCTTGTATAATTTATGGCCTAAAATGTCATCATTTAAACACTATCAAAATATAATTAGTCTTAAAAGAGCATAGTAATATGCTAATTTTAACCACTAATCACTAGTCAGAGAGGGCGATATAGATTTCGGAGGATATGCTTCGGGCATATGTCCTTTATTTCAAGGGCAGTTGGGAAGATCACTTTCCTTTAGCAAAAATTTCTTATTCCTACTATAATAGTTATTAAGCGAGTATTTAGATGACACCCTAAGAGGCCTTGTACGGGAGACAGTGTCATTCTTCAATTTGCTGGATGGAGGTTGGAGAGGGACCTTTCATGGGTCCGGACATGATTAGGTACACCTATGAGAAGGTGATCATTATTCAAAAGAGTCTCTCACAACTCAAAGCCGATAGAAAAACTATTCCAACCAGGGGCACAGATCTCTTAATTTTGAGGCTGAATATCATGTCTTCTTGAAGGTTATACCTAAGAAGAGAATGGTCCAGTTTAGAAAGAGTGGCAAGATGTCGCCAAGGTATATTGGGTCATTCAAGGTACTTAAGAGGGTCGGGGCAATTGCTTACCGGTTGGTATTATCGCCAAATCGATCGAGTGTTAATAACGTGTTTCATGTCTTCATGCTCTGGAAGTACACTTCAAATCCTTCGTATGTGGTAGATTGGGGTGAACTAGTGGTTGATGTGGATAGGACCTTCGAGGAGGAATCAATTCGTATTTTGGATAGCTGAGATTAGTTTTTGCAGGGCAAGACTGTGAGACGAGTTAAGGTACTGTGGCAGCACCAAGGTATCGAGGAGGCTATATGGGAATGCGAGGATACCATACAAGTTACCTATCCATTTCTATTCAAGGATGGAGGTAAAGTTTAATTTTCATGTTAGTTGCGTACGAAATGATTACATGTGCATTCATTTCATGTGTTACATATGTTCATAATTTAGAAGATGAAATTTTCTTAAAGGGGGAAGATTGTAAAACCCAAAAAAATTGATAAATCAATTAAATGGGTAATACAATAATTAAGCTGTTTTAAGCACGAGTTAAAAACCTAAATTTTTACGTAACTCAAGTAGTGAAATGGACCTTACTGTTGGATTCGTCTCGTGAAATCAAGTTGGGCAGTCAATTTTCAGTGAGACAGTCGAAATTTTCATGGGTTTCAAGGCTAATCGGGGATGCACGATTGTAATTCCAGTGATTGTAATTCCAGTGCAATTGGGTTTTATGTAACAGTTGGAAGATTAGTTATAAACAGGTTAAATCTCGTCATAGTCAATGCTTTTGATTCAATGCATAAACCAGAACCCCATCTTCATTAAATCATCAACCTACCTATCAAATAACTAGAGTAAACCTTTTGAATGGTCCACCTTCAGGTTACTAGGGTCATTTGGTTGTTGCATGATACATAAACCTTTCGACTAACCTAATCATTGTTGTGATATGGTTCAGTTATACATCAAACCTACCAGTTAACTCTCTAGTAAAATGATAATTAATTGTTGTAAGGTGACATTTTTATAAATAAGCAATATAGTGCATGTTGGATTCTCAAACTGAAGAATCCATTTTATTATTGTTATTCAAAATTTAGTCAAGTATTTATTTGATAATTCTAAGCTCACACCACAAGCTATTCTATTGCACACAACACACACGACAATCTTACCCTTTTCTATTTTAAATACCAATAGTTAGCTGCCTGTGGGTTTGACTGTAGATTTAATCTAGAAATATTACAATTTGACTACTTATATTTGGGTGTATGATTTAAATCAGGTCATGTGCAGGGATATCTTTATTTCAAAAATATTTAAGAAATATCACAATCCTTTACTCTGTTGTATAAGAATTAACCTCGATGTCAATTCTTTCTTGGAATTACTCAATAAAGAATACACTCTAGTTTTAGTGACTATCACTCAATACTAACATATGAGAAGGATATTGTTATCAAAACAAAGTAATAGCATATGTAATATCCCAAAAGAATGTTATTTGAACAAAACTAGAATTTGACATAATCTCGTGAAAAAATATTAACACTATAGTAAACAACATTATCAACACTCTCCCCTTTTAATGAATAGATGAAAATAATACATGTGCTTGATTTTTGGAATAAAAAAGAACTTCATTAGGGTTATAACGTGACTAAAGGGTATTAGGTTTAAAGAAACGACGTCAAATGTATTCAAAAAGCTATCCTTTTCAATTTGTGTAGCACACATCACAATTTCTTCTTTTTCAGTTCCATATTTGCAATTTCTTGGCTATTTTCTTTTTTTGCTTCCTTTATTTTTCTTTTGCTATTCTCTTTTCTTTCTTTCACAAATTCTTTTCTTTTTTCGTTTCTTTTTCTTTTCCAACAGTATTCTCCATTTTTCTCATTTCCTGTTTAACGTCTTCTTTTTAGGAGAGGGTGTAAGAAAATTAAACACCAAAGGTTGGACAAATATATTTTCTTTGGCTCGGTTAATGCATGGGTTTAAGAAAAAAAATTATACTTTTAGCCTCAATCATGGCTTACAAGGGACATAGTTTTGCAAAAGAAATGGTTAAGGGTCAAAATACAATCACTAATGGCCTAAAATCATTTTCCAAAATTCATACACCTGCATGATTTTCATTTAAAATTTAAGGGAAAATGCTAACCATATTATTCAACAAGTGCTAACAAAAACAAAGATAGTGAGATTATTCAACGAAATATTATGCTAAACTACAATTCTTACTTGAGTAAGACTTTAATATTATGTTAAACTAAAATTCTTATATGCACGTGATTAAGACACACTCGCATTAAAGATGTTGACAGTTCAAGATAGGACCGAGCTAGCTGAGGTCGGGTTTAGAATAAAGTACCATCTATTAGGCATGCTCGGTTTACTAGACATGCACGATCGATTAGGCCAAACTTGATAGAATAACTCGACCATGCGAAGGTTTGCTCGATTAATTAGGTCAAGTAATATTGTTAAACAATTCGGTTCAAGTTAAAGTAAACTATGAATCATTCAGAAAATAGATTGGATAGGATAAGAAAGTTGCTAAAGTCATGGCAAATCATAATCAGTAAATCCCAAAGAATTAGTTGATTGTCGAACGTAAAAGAAATTTTGATAGAATGTAACCGAGAGTCCGACATGATTGGGGTGTACCACCTCACCTTGTAAACTAAAAGAATCCAATCTCTAAGAGGGAAAGCCGATGAATCTATAAAAAAAGACCAAGGAGAATCATGAAAGGTAAGCACAGTTTTCCTTACAAGTTCTTTTGTCTCTATCTACTACTGACTTAAGTATCAGAGTGCCTTTAATCGGTTCACTCTGATTCTAGGCAGTGTGTTCATTTTGCAGAAAAAATTGCGCAATATACAACCATACTCAAAATTATTTTGCATCATTTTGTAAGGGGTAATTTTTTTACCGCTTACACTATGTATTATTTAGTTAGATTTATTTAAAAAAATATTGTTACTATCAAACAACTTTCAATAATTCTTTATCTACAAAGGTATAAGGATGCTTGTAAAAAATAAAAGGTTTTTGGTATTTTGCATTTTAAAAAATTTTAAATTTTTTATTTTATATATTCAAAGATTAAAGTTTTTATATTAGATTCCTAATGTACTAAATAACCTCGGATCGAGACAAAGCCTAGGTGTCATCGATTTCAAGTGGAATCAATTTCGACAGAGAGGAAGAGAAGACGGAAGAATCATAGACTTTTTAGGGAGAAAAAGTTGGCAGAGAGAGAGGTGGGTTCTGATCATCAAAATTGAATTGCACCACCACCACCACCACCACCACCATAAATTCATCTCCTCCCATTTATACGCCTAATCATATTCTGAAATAGTCATCGATTTCAAATTAAATCAATTCCGACAGAGAGAGAGAGAGGAGTCATACTATCATAGGCATATAGAGAGAAATTAGGGGGAGAGAGAGGTGGGATCTAAGCATCAAATTTCAATTACATTATCACCACCACAACCACAGCCACAACAATAACCAGTACATCTACTCCTAATCAAAGTCCAAATTTTCAGCCATGTCCCTGAACATGAAAACCCTGACCCAAGCCCTAGCCAAGACAGCAGCAGTAATCGAGAAAACCGTAACCACCACCGTACAAGAAGTCACCGGACCCAAACCCTTACAAGACTACGACCTCCTAACCCAGATCGGCTCCGCCGGGCCCGGACTATGTTGGAAGCTCTACTCTGGCAGGTCACGTGACCGTTACGTGACATCCCAGCAGTACCCCACTGTCTGCGTCTGGGTCCTCGACAAACGGGCTCTATCCGAAGCTCGCAATCGGGCTGGGCTGTCCAAATCGGTTGAGGAATCGTTCTTGGAGATAGTTCGGGCCGATGCTGCTCGTCTGGTGAGGCTGAGGCACCCGGGGGTGGTGCACGTGGTGCAGGCTTTGGATGAGAACAAGAATGCCATGGCAATGGTCACCGAGCCTTTGTTTGCTTCCATGGCGAATGTGTTGGGGAATGTGGAAAATATTGAAAAGGTGCCAAAGGAGCTCAGAGGGATGGTAAGTTTCTGTTTCTTTTTATTTTGGAAATGTACAATTCTGTTTGATTTAGTGAATGCCCATTTGATTCTGAAGTATATTTGACAATTATCAGTTTGGTCTCTTGATTTGTTGCATGAAACTGTGTAAATTGGAGGATGATTTCTTTTAATTAAGGAATGCCCATCTAAATTGTCATGGTTTGATATAAGCATGGTCAGTGAGGAAAAAATCCCATTCTCCATTCCATGTAGGAAGGGTTCTGGGAGGGGCAGACTTGACACATGTAAGATTTGGCATGTTTGCATAAGTGGCTTTGTTCAGATTTGAACACACGTTCTCACTTCACCTTTTTTGCCCACTGTTTGAAAGTATTGTGTGCTAGAATGCTCATTTGAATTTTTAAGTCTTGCTAAGAAGAAGATGCACATGCATATTTGCCTGATTCGGTATGAAATTTACTAAATGGCCATGTGAATTTCTATTTAGTTCATTGCTTGATTACTATAATTTTGCATGATGTTTTTTAGTCTTCCTGATTTATGTAACTCAGGGGATGTGAATCTGAGTTTGCATTAGTTTATGTGGAACATAGTTATTACCCTGTCGGAAATGAGTGGAGCCTAGGTGAGATGAGCTGGCTGAGCTTAGGTCTGTTTGTACTTGGCTTGGCCGAGTTCATGTGATATTCATGTTCATCACGATGTTGGCTAGTGTTGCTTCAACATGGCTCACCACCAGTGCAACAAGCTCAAGCTTGGAACATAGAATGGTGAGTAATGAACGTTAAAGAACAAGTAAACAGTTTCATATCAAAACCTCAAATTCAAGCTAATTTCACTAATTACTGACCAAGGTGGAACTATAACAAATAAGAATGAGCGAAATTGGGAGGTCACACCGTATGAAACAGATGGTGGGAGAACTATCGGATAAGACAATCTTCTAGGTTTTTTATTTTTTTTCCTAGTATCTGTTTCCAGACCTCTTGATTTCCCTCTATAAGCTCTCCCTCTTTGCATTTGCAATACACTGGATTTGAACATTGATGAGATTCTGTAGGTTACAACTTTTAGCCCTCATTTATTTCTTTGCCCCCATTGCTTTTACTCCTAAGTCTGAAGATAAATTCAATTAATAGAAAGTTCAACTGTTGTATATTTCCAAGGCGACTTCTTTGTTCCCAAGTCTCATAGATCACACATTGGAATGATGTATTGATAGTATAGGTACAATATTGTGACGCATGTGTAATAAAATATATTGTAATAGAGGTTTTGTAGAATAAATAAAGCAAACAGATATTTGTTGCCTTGGGCCCAATGAATTGTAGACGAGCTACACAGAGTCAAATATTTACGCACGTGCTTAAAAGGCTTAGTTTGTGTCCTGAGCAAATACACATTAAAGAACCCTAAACAAGCCAAAAGTAGGCTGTTCATTAATTGCTCATACATTTTGTTCTTGCCAAACATGTTTATAGCCATATGGTATCATGATGGTATATTAGTCTTAAACATCTGTAAGATTTGGGAATGATTCTTTTTAAATTGTTTCTATTACAAGGTAGATATTGGAAAGTTTATTTCATGATACGGCAAAGTTGAAAATCCCTAAATCAAATTTACGAAGGTGTTAGTGAGTTTAGTAGTGTCAGGGGCACGCTTGCCCAGGTGAAGATCCCCATATATGCATTAAGCTGTCTCTTTTCAAGATGCTTTATGGGATGACAAATAGGATTGGGGGATGATGAGAGACTTCTTATGGGAACGGAAGGAGGAGGGTAAAAAGGATCACTTAATGTGTTGGGAGTCATGTCTAGACCAAAAGTAAAGGGTGAATTGTTGGTGAAAAATTTGGTTGTTAGAAATAAGGCCTTGGTTGAAAAATGGCTTCAGAGATTTTCATTGGAGCAAAATTCGTTATGACATTTGGTAATTAAAAGCAAGCATGTTAGGCTAAGGGGTAGAATGCTAAAAGGGTTGATAGGGGAAGCTACTGAATCCTTGCAATTTAATTCTTGAATTATCTTGCTTTTTTTCAAAGGGTCCGTTTCGTTAGGAAGAAAAAAATGATGGAAAGTGAAAATGATAGAAAGTGAAGTGAAAAAAAAAAGAACATGATAGAAAAATTAATTTCATAATGTATTTGTTAGAATGCAAAATTTACGGGAAAGTTTAAAAAAAAATCATTATATTATTTGAAAGAAATGAAAATTATAAGAAATTTTTTATAATTGTCTAAATTATCCTTAATTATATTAAATTAGTCTAAAAAGGAAAAGATTTATATAATTATAATTGAAAGTTAAAATTTTTTTAAAAAGTGACTCGAAACCTAATTTTAGGACAATCACCAACACAAATGTCTTTGGGCCAAGTTATATATGATTAATTAAATTCATACCAAAATTTTTTTAAAATTAATAACTAATAAAATATTTTTCAAAAAAGTAAGAGTAAAATAAGAAGTTAGTTATAGATCACAACTTTCTTGAATTTCCTTGTGTTTTTTACAAGAAA